TACGTACCAATTCACAAATATCAAAATACAAGGCTGAGTGTGGTGCTGCACACCTGCAACTTGGGAGGCCAAGGCAGGGAGATTGTAACTTCGAGGCCAGCCTGGACAACTTAGTGAGACCTTGTTTAAAAAAAACAAAAAAAATCTGGGCAAGGTGGCCCATGCCTGTAATCCCAGCACTTGGGAGCCTGAGGCAGGGGGATTGTAACTTCGAGTCCAGCCTGGACAACTTAGTGAGACCTTTTTAAAACAAAAAAACAAAAAAAATCTGGGCATGGTGGCCCATGCCTGTAATCCCAGCACTTGGGAGGCTGAGGCAGGAGGACTGTTGTAAATTCAAGACCAGCCTGGACTACAAAGTGAGCTTAAGGCTAGCCTGAACAGCAGAGTGAGACCCTATCTCAAAAAGACAAAAAAAGAACAGGGCTGGGGATGTAACGTAGTGGCAGAACGCTGTTGGGTTTGATCCTTAGTACTACAAAAATATTTTTTAAACTTTTATATTTTATGAAATGATTATAACCCTCTGAAAGTAGGGTCTACCGACTTAAGGAGAAGTGAGCGTTGGCAACCTCAGAAGCCACAGAGGTCTATTTCCCTCCCAGGGGTTGTGGTGGCCTCTCTCTGACCCCCACAGGCAACATGGCATAATAGGTAAGAGCATGGGGCTCAGGAAAGATGGACCATGCCCCAAGTGTCTGCCACCGACAGGTGGGAGTCCCTGGATATGGGCCTTAACATCAGTGTTACATTTCTTCCCCTATAAAAGGGTAAAAATTGATGAGGATTAAATGAGTTGCTACTAAGCACTTTCAACAGTACCTAGCGATAGTGAGCACTAAGTAAATGTTGGACATTACGGTTCTCTTAATAACTGGTCCATTTTGCTTTATATAATTTTTATAAATGGTTGTGGACATATTTGAAATGAAATCTATTCCAGATTATATCCACTTAAGATGTAATTTAATCATGTCATTTGCAGGAAAATGGATGGAACTGGAGGCTGTCATGGTCACTGAAATAAGCCAGACTCAGAAAGTCAAATACCACATGTCTTCTCTCATATAAGGAAATCTAGGAGATGAGAGAGGCCACGAAAGTAGAAAGGAACTCATTAAAGGAGGGCGGGATGGGTAGAGAAATGGGGCAGGGTAAAGGGGCAGGGTAAAGGGGCAGGGTGAGGTATGACCAAAGTATATGCACACACAAGTGTGTGCAAATAAATCCTACTCTGTACCTAACATATACTAGTTTATATTTTTAAATTGAGACTCAAAAATAACTGTAATTTAAGGAATATACTTTAGAATGTAAGATTTCAAAAATTAAAAAGGGTCATCTCCCATGGCTCACTTAATTTTGATGTACAACTGAACTCTGATCCATCCTGCTCCAATTATCCATATGGGAATACTTAGTATTGCCTGTTCACGCCAGGTAGGAAAACGCCAGTCCCTGATTCTACATACTAAGAGGTCA